CAAGGGGAAGGCAATATAGCACAGAGAAGACAAGTAGTGATCCTATAGCATCTTACTATGCTGATGAACAGTGACTGTAATGGGGTATGTGGGGGGGACTTGATGATGGGGGGAATCTAGTAACCACAGTGTTGCTCATGCAAGTGTATATTAATGATACCCAAATTTAAAAAAAAAAAAGAGTTTACATGAAGCCCTCTGCCCACTCCAGGGGCAGCCAGTGCCCAGGTGTTAGTGTTGTCATGGTTACACAGGGGTCCTTCTATTCCTTTATGCTGATGTACCCCAGCCTCCCACCACCCAAGACTGCCTGGAGAAGCTGGAGCCATGAGGTGGCTGGGGGTGCTCTGTGCTGAGATCCTGCCCACATGGGGGTTCAGTGCGGGATCTGGTCAGAGTGAGGCTTCCCTCTGCTCCTCCACCACCACCCTGTTTTCTCTGTAGCTGGCATATTTGCATCCTGAGACCGCCGAGAGTACCCAGGTGGGAATACCTGAGCTGCTGTGGGAAGCAATGACTAGCGCAGGCCTTGCCATCCCACCTGCAGGCAAAGAGCCCTCTGGTCCAGCCCTCACACAGAAGGGCCCACGCCCTGTTCAGGCAGGGATGGACACCCACCCAGACCACCTGCCGGCAGGGCCTCCGTGTGAAAAGGTGAGTGGGCTGCAGGTGGCATGTGGGCTCTGGGAAGCAGGACACTCAGTGTGGCCCTGTGCACAGGGTGTCTGCCTCTGAAGTCCACTGCGCTCTGGGGCAGTGCCTTCTCTGTAGGGAGGGAGTCACGGTCAAGGCTGGTGCAGTGCCTTTCTGACGTCTCCATGGCAACGTCCACATGGATTTCATGGAACATACCGTGTTTGAGCAGGAAGGGACCTTGGATCAGCTCCTCCACTCCCTCATTTCACACAGAGGGGGAACGGGACCAGAGAGGGGCCACCCCTGGGGGTGAGTGGAATGTGGGTATAAGCTGGAAGACCTGGAAATGAGAATCCAGAGAGGGACTGCCCCAACCCTCTTGGGTTCAAGAGGGTCATTGTGTCTAGGAACTCACATCATATGTCCCATATCACTCCAGCACATGGGGGTCAGGCACCTAGAAGGGCAAGTGAGAGGGCAGAGAGCAGGAGCCGGCAGCTCTGGGCCTGAGGGGACCAGAAATCTGGGCTCTCAGAGGGTTCTGGGGTGAAGATCCAGCAGAAAGGCCTCAAGGAGGCTGCAGCAGACCTGGGTTGCTCCATCCCCCTGCCAGGTCATGGACCCAGCAGAGCCAGCCCTGCGTCGGAAGACACCCCTCTCCAGGGGGACACAGTCCTCACCCCTCACTCCAGCGCAGACCCAGGGCTCACCTCACCTCCAGATCTGCCTCGGGGACTTGCACTGGTCTGCAAGGGATCTTCTCTGCAGGGCTGAAGATCCTGAGAATTGGGGCACCCGAGCCCATCCAAGGCCCACCTGCCTGACCTTTCCCACCAAACCGGCCCCTGCCTTCCCCTGCTGGCAGCCCTTCTAGTGATCTATTGCTGTGTAACAGACCTCCCCCGAGGGCTCAAGAGTCTGTGGTTCAGGCAGATCTTGGGGGAGACGGCTTTCTCTGCTCGGCACAGGATCCCCCAGGACAAGAGCCACCCTGCCAAGATGCCTTCTTCACTCAGACACGTTCCTCTCCAGGTGCGTTTTTCCGTGAGGCCGCTTGGGCTTTCTCGTGGAATGGCAGCTGGGTTCCAAGAATGAGTGTTCCAGGGGACAGGATGGGGAGCTGCCAGTCTGAAGGTGTGAGTTCATGGGCACAGGGTCATTTCTGCCGTATCTATTGGGCAAAGCAATCACAGCTCCTACGCAGATGCAAGAGCAGGAGATACAGACCCACCCACCCCACGCTGGAGGGCAGCAAAGAATTTGCCATCTTCAACCCCCTTCAGTACCATGCTGTCTCTGCTCCATGTCTCTGACTCTTCCCCTCGCCACCAGGCCTGCAGGTCACCTCTGCCCCCATTACCACCCCCTGGCTACTGCAGTTCCCTCAGACCCATCGCCCTGCGCACAGGCTATACCACTCGCTCCCTCCTCTTCACTCCCTGTACTCCTGTGACTGTGTTTTCTCTGTCGCTCTGCTCAGAAATCATGCATAGCTCCCTACTTCTTGCTGAACAATTTCCAAACTCCTAGGCAAAACATTCCAATTCACCTAATAGTCTAGCCCCCTTCTACATTACCAGTTGGCTCACTTCACAGTTCCTCCCAGCAAATGGGCCACACTTAGGCCTCTTCCATTCAAAGCGCCCACCTGAGCATGCACGTGTTCACTCCCTCCACCTGACAAATTTCTCCATCCCTTCTCCGGGTGGACTCCTGCTCAACCTTCAAAACCTAATGCAAATGCCCCTCTCCCACAAAGCCTTGCTCTTAGTGCTGTTCTCATTGTGTGTTGAGGCACATTCTGCCTTAAATCCCTGTTGGCAATGACATGTCCTCCTGAAGTGGAGCCAGTGTTTCTAACTCACATTTCTTTTACCAATTTAACGACTGTTTGTTGAGGCCTGGAGCCAGCTGCCAGGGATGCGGCAATGCCCAGGACAAGCTGCTTCCTGTGCCCAGAAACCTTACATCATTACAGAGGGCGAGACAGATGGCAAAGAGAGGAACCAAGAGACACAGTGATCAAAGATTAGGAGGACTGCTGGCAGGCAAGGCAGAGGGTGCCATGGTCCAGGGGCCTGGAGCCCCATTTTTTCAAGAGAAACCAAAGACCTCATTTTACATGCACGCTCCTGATTTTACAGGGCACAAGGTCAAGCCTTTCTCCTCTGCTGTTCTCCGCTCCCCTCCCCTCCTGGCTTCTCCCTCTCACTGAGAGGCTTGCCTCCTTCTCTTATCCTGGCCATCCATCGGTACTAGCCCCCCACCCCTGACTGAAACTGCCCCACCCCTAGGGCACCCAACTCCTCCTCTGTGGTCCCCATGCCCTGGGCATGTTCTGGGCAGCAGCTGGCAGGAGAGTGTGGGGAGGCCACTGCCTAGGACCCTGGGATCAGGGAGCATTGGCTGGCTGAGACCCTGGGCCAGTCACCCTGAAGTTGGCCTCATGGGGGGTGGGACGCCCAGAGTTCCCAGGGCCACAGCAGTGGGAGCCGAACACCCCCCCCTCAGGCCCCACTACCCCCACCTCTGGGCATTGGCCTGGAAGAGGTTGGGGACAGAGGAGTGAGACAGGAAGGGAGGCCGGGGGCCTCAGAAGGCTTCCTAGGGTTTGTCCTCCAGCTCTGACAGGGCCCTGAGAGACAGGTCTCCAGGAAACCCCTGGGGCAGCCCTGCCCTGGGACAGTTTGTGCTCTGTGGAGCCTAGTGCCCACGTGTAAATCCTGGCTCTGCCACTTCCTAACCTGCTGACCTTGGACAGCTCCCTTCCCCTCTCTAGGCCTCAGTTTCCCCATCTGTACCTTGGGAATCTTACCAGAACCCACCTGATAGGATAGTTCTGAAGATGATACATGTCTGGCACAGAAAGGGCAGCTTTCCGCAGCCTCTCCGGGCAGGATTCCAGGGCAGGGTCCTGTCATCCATTTTCCCAGCCCCAGAGGCAGGTTCTGCCCATTGTGGTACCTCAGGCCTGGGCACTGCCAGCAGAGAGGACTCAGGCCTCTGAGGAGTCCAGGACCCAGTGACAGTGTCATGCCTTGGGGGGACAGTCAGGCCATCCCCTCCAGCTCCCAGGGGAGAATGGAGCCGACTCCATCAGAGGGGTGCTGCCTTTCTGACTGTACAGCTGGCCCCACACCATGGGGCGGGGGGGGGGCATCTCGGCTCACCCCTCCCAGTATTCCATGACCACCTCAGTCTCTCTCTCTAAACACAGCATCCTGGGACAAACAGAGTCCGGGCAGCCCAGGTGGAGAGGAGACGTCAGGCCCTGGAGAGGGGTCCACCGGGCACCGGCACGGGGTTTAGACAATCAGCACTTGGCCCCTTCGTGGCCAGAACCTGACACTGGGCGTCCAAGGGGCCAGCCACAGCCTGGGGGAGGGGCCTCCCACCGGCTTCACCCCCCAGGCTCCTGAGGGAGCGCTCCGGGGGGTGGGGCCCTCAGGGGGATGTTGGCTGTGACATCTACTTCCCGGTTCCCGAAGACCCCGGGGCTGCAGCCCAGCTGGCAGGGCTGCGGGGGCCGCGCCCTGACGTTCAGCCTGCGCGATAAGCCCTGCCTATGATAACCAGCTGTCAGCCTAGCCCCCAGCTCCGCACACCCGGGTTTGTTTGCCAACCCTGTGTTGGAGCTTCCCGGACCCGCGGGCCCTGTCGCAGGCCAGGAGGCACCTCTGGCTGAAAAGGGACAGAATCCCAGGGTGCCCACCCCATGCAGGCCCATTGCCTCAGCGCTCCCACCTAGTCCCAGGCTCCGAGGCCGCCCAGTGGCGGGTCACCGGCCCTGGAGCTGCGAAAGGGTCCCGGACGCTCCCTCATTCAGCCCCAGCCCAGAGGCGGCCCCGGGGGTCGCGGGCAGGGAGCTGCCGGGAGCGGCCCTCACAGCGCACCCGCAGAGCCCGGCCCCCAGGGCTGCCTATATTTGCATGGCCCCGCCCCGGCGCGCCTATTGGCCGCAGCGGCGGGAGGCCGGGCCTGAGTGGCTGCGGGGCCGTGGGGCGGCGGGGGCGGGGCGCGGGGAGCCAGCCGGGATGCCGCCGCCGCGGCGGGACCGGTCCGGGTCCGGGTGGCGCTCCACGAGTGCGGATAGCAGGGCGGCCCGGGGCGCGGCGGCTGCAGCGAGAGCTCACTGAGTGCCCTCCCGCCATGTCCAGGAAGAAGACCCCCAAAGGCAAGGGGGCCAGCGCTCCCGCTGCCTCCGCGCTGCCCGCAGCCAATGGGCCCCGGCCGGCTCTCCCCGGGACTGCGCGCCCCGGCCCCGGAACGCCGCACAACGCGCCCCCGCAGCCCGGCCGGCCCCCAGTTGGCAGCGGCGGCGACTTCTACGACGTCGCCTTCAAGGTGAGCCGCCCCCACACCCCACACGAGCGCAGCAGGTGGTGTCCGGGCCGAGCAAAGCGGGGACGGGGTCCGGGAAGGTGTGCCGTGCCCTGCGGACCCCCGGCGCAGAGCCGGCGCAAGCAGCACCACGCAGCTGTCACTGCTGACACGGTGCATCGCGCACACGCACAGCTGTCAGACCCAGGTTCAGGATGCCCAGCGTCTGGCAAGGCCTGCCCCTGGCCCCTGCCCCCAGCTGGCAGGACCAACAAGGGGTCCCGTGTAAGTCAGAGCTTGGCAGGTGCCCTCTGCCTGCTCCCTAATGCTCCCGCCCCCACTCTCATCGTTTCCCATATGCTACCTTCCCTCACCCACAGGGGCTGCGGGTCTCCTCTTTTTTAGCGGGGGTGATGGGGGAGGACTAAGAAGGGATTTGCCAGTCGGGTGGGGAGCAGACAGGCAGGAGCTTGTGCATTGAGGGAGGGCCAGCAGGACCATCTCTGGCTTCGGAGCCTTTGGTAGCAGGCTGGCAAAGGCGGAGGGCAGGGGGTGGGCAGCCGCCTGACTGCTCATCCCCGTCCACAGACCTGGCCTGGGCCCCTCCTTCACCAAGATCTGACCCTCATGTGGCAAAGTGCTCCATAGTCTTCTTGGGATTAGGAGAAGCCCCCTGGTGTAGAGGCCCCCACAGGCTTCTCAGGTCCCCAGCCACCAATCCCCACCCTTCTAGTGATCTATTGCTGTGTAACAGACCTCCCCCGAGGGCTCAAGAGTCTGTGGTTCAGGCAGATCTTGGGGGAGACGGCTTTCTCTGCTCGGCACAGGATCCCCCAGGACAAGAGCCACCCTGCCAAGATGCCTTCTTCACTCAGACACGTTCCTCTCCAGGTGCGTTTTTCCGTGAGGCCGCTTGGGCTTTCTCGTGGAATGGCAGCTGGGTTCCAAGAATGAGTGTTCCAGGGGACAGGATGGGGAGCTGCCAGTCTGAAGGTGTGAGTTCATGGGCACAGGGTCATTTCTGCCGTATCTATTGGGCAAAGCAATCACAGCTCCTACGCAGATGCAAGAGCAGGAGATACAGACCCACCCACCCCACGCTGGAGGGCAGCAAAGAATTTGCCATCTTCAACCCCCTTCAGTACCATGCTGTCTCTGCTCCATGTCTCTGACTCTTCCCCTCGCCACCAGGCCTGCAGGTCACCTCTGCCCCCATTACCACCCCCTGGCTACTGCAGTTCCCTCAGACCCATCGCCCTGCGCACAGGCTATACCACTCGCTCCCTCCTCTTCACTCCCTGTACTCCTGTGACTGTGTTTTCTCTGTCGCTCTGCTCAGAAATCATGCATAGCTCCCTACTTCTTGCTGAACAATTTCCAAACTCCTAGGCAAAACATTCCAATTCACCTAATAGTCTAGCCCCCTTCTACATTACCAGTTGGCTCACTTCACAGTTCCTCCCAGCAAATGGGCCACACTTAGGCCTCTTCCATTCAAAGCGCCCACCTGAGCATGCACGTGTTCACTCCCTCCACCTGACAAATTTCTCCATCCCTTCTCCGGGTGGACTCCTGCTCAACCTTCAAAACCTAATGCAAATGCCCCTCTCCCACAAAGCCTTGCTCTTAGTGCTGTTCTCATTGTGTGTTGAGGCACATTCTGCCTTAAATCCCTGTTGGCAATGACATGTCCTCCTGAAGTGGAGCCAGTGTTTCTAACTCACATTTCTTTTACCAATTTAACGACTGTTTGTTGAGGCCTGGAGCCAGCTGCCAGGGATGCGGCAATGCCCAGGACAAGCTGCTTCCTGTGCCCAGAAACCTTACATCATTACAGAGGGCGAGACAGATGGCAAAGAGAGGAACCAAGAGACACAGTGATCAAAGATTAGGAGGACTGCTGGCAGGCAAGGCAGAGGGTGCCATGGTCCAGGGGCCTGGAGCCCCATTTTTTCAAGAGAAACCAAAGACCTCATTTTACATGCACGCTCCTGATTTTACAGGGCACAAGGTCAAGCCTTTCTCCTCTGCTGTTCTCCGCTCCCCTCCCCTCCTGGCTTCTCCCTCTCACTGAGAGGCTTGCCTCCTTCTCTTATCCTGGCCATCCATCGGTACTAGCCCCCCACCCCTGACTGAAACTGCCCCACCCCTAGGGCACCCAACTCCTCCTCTGTGGTCCCCATGCCCTGGGCATGTTCTGGGCAGCAGCTGGCAGGAGAGTGTGGGGAGGCCACTGCCTAGGACCCTGGGATCAGGGAGCATTGGCTGGCTGAGACCCTGGGCCAGTCACCCTGAAGTTGGCCTCATGGGGGGTGGGACGCCCAGAGTTCCCAGGGCCACAGCAGTGGGAGCCGAACACCCCCCCCTCAGGCCCCACTACCCCCACCTCTGGGCATTGGCCTGGAAGAGGTTGGGGACAGAGGAGTGAGACAGGAAGGGAGGCCGGGGGCCTCAGAAGGCTTCCTAGGGTTTGTCCTCCAGCTCTGACAGGGCCCTGAGAGACAGGTCTCCAGGAAACCCCTGGGGCAGCCCTGCCCTGGGACAGTTTGTGCTCTGTGGAGCCTAGTGCCCACGTGTAAATCCTGGCTCTGCCACTTCCTAACCTGCTGACCTTGGACAGCTCCCTTCCCCTCTCTAGGCCTCAGTTTCCCCATCTGTACCTTGGGAATCTTACCAGAACCCACCTGATAGGATAGTTCTGAAGATGATACATGTCTGGCACAGAAAGGGCAGCTTTCCGCAGCCTCTCCGGGCAGGATTCCAGGGCAGGGTCCTGTCATCCATTTTCCCAGCCCCAGAGGCAGGTTCTGCCCATTGTGGTACCTCAGGCCTGGGCACTGCCAGCAGAGAGGACTCAGGCCTCTGAGGAGTCCAGGACCCAGTGACAGTGTCATGCCTTGGGGGGACAGTCAGGCCATCCCCTCCAGCTCCCAGGGGAGAATGGAGCCGACTCCATCAGAGGGGTGCTGCCTTTCTGACTGTACAGCTGGCCCCACACCATGGGGCGGGGGGGGGGCATCTCGGCTCACCCCTCCCAGTATTCCATGACCACCTCAGTCTCTCTCTCTAAACACAGCATCCTGGGACAAACAGAGTCCGGGCAGCCCAGGTGGAGAGGAGACGTCAGGCCCTGGAGAGGGGTCCACCGGGCACCGGCACGGGGTTTAGACAATCAGCACTTGGCCCCTTCGTGGCCAGAACCTGACACTGGGCGTCCAAGGGGCCAGCCACAGCCTGGGGGAGGGGCCTCCCACCGGCTTCACCCCCCAGGCTCCTGAGGGAGCGCTCCGGGGGGTGGGGCCCTCAGGGGGATGTTGGCTGTGACATCTACTTCCCGGTTCCCGAAGACCCCGGGGCTGCAGCCCAGCTGGCAGGGCTGCGGGGGCCGCGCCCTGACGTTCAGCCTGCGCGATAAGCCCTGCCTATGATAACCAGCTGTCAGCCTAGCCCCCAGCTCCGCACACCCGGGTTTGTTTGCCAACCCTGTGTTGGAGCTTCCCGGACCCGCGGGCCCTGTCGCAGGCCAGGAGGCACCTCTGGCTGAAAAGGGACAGAATCCCAGGGTGCCCACCCCATGCAGGCCCATTGCCTCAGCGCTCCCACCTAGTCCCAGGCTCCGAGGCCGCCCAGTGGCGGGTCACCGGCCCTGGAGCTGCGAAAGGGTCCCGGACGCTCCCTCATTCAGCCCCAGCCCAGAGGCGGCCCCGGGGGTCGCGGGCAGGGAGCTGCCGGGAGCGGCCCTCACAGCGCACCCGCAGAGCCCGGCCCCCAGGGCTGCCTATATTTGCATGGCCCCGCCCCGGCGCGCCTATTGGCCGCAGCGGCGGGAGGCCGGGCCTGAGTGGCTGCGGGGCCGTGGGGCGGCGGGGGCGGGGCGCGGGGAGCCAGCCGGGATGCCGCCGCCGCGGCGGGACCGGTCCGGGTCCGGGTGGCGCTCCACGAGTGCGGATAGCAGGGCGGCCCGGGGCGCGGCGGCTGCAGCGAGAGCTCACTGAGTGCCCTCCCGCCATGTCCAGGAAGAAGACCCCCAAAGGCAAGGGGGCCAGCGCTCCCGCTGCCTCCGCGCTGCCCGCAGCCAATGGGCCCCGGCCGGCTCTCCCCGGGACTGCGCGCCCCGGCCCCGGAACGCCGCACAACGCGCCCCCGCAGCCCGGCCGGCCCCCAGTTGGCAGCGGCGGCGACTTCTACGACGTCGCCTTCAAGGTGAGCCGCCCCCACACCCCACACGAGCGCAGCAGGTGGTGTCCGGGCCGAGCAAAGCGGGGACGGGGTCCGGGAAGGTGTGCCGTGCCCTGCGGACCCCCGGCGCAGAGCCGGCGCAAGCAGCACCACGCAGCTGTCACTGCTGACACGGTGCATCGCGCACACGCACAGCTGTCAGACCCAGGTTCAGGATGCCCAGCGTCTGGCAAGGCCTGCCCCTGGCCCCTGCCCCCCGCTGGCAGGACCAACAAGGGGTCCCGTGTAAGTCAGAGCTTGGCAGGTGCCCTCTGCCTGCTCCCTAATGCTCCCGCCCCCACTCTCATCGTTTCCCATATGCTACCTTCCCTCACCCACAGGGGCTGCGGGTCTCCTCTTTTTTAGCGGGGGTGATGGGGGAGGACTAAGAAGGGATTTGCCAGTCGGGTGGGGAGCAGACAGGCAGGAGCTTGTGCATTGAGGGAGGGCCAGCAGGACCATCTCTGGCTTCGGAGCCTTTGGTAGCAGGCTGGCAAAGGCGGAGGGCAGGGGGTGGGCAGCCGCCTGACTGCTCATCCCCGTCCACAGACCTGGCCTGGGCCCCTCCTTCACCAAGATCTGACCCTCATGTGGCAAAGTGCTCCATAGTCTTCTTGGGATTAGGAGAAGCCCCCTGGTGTAGAGGCCCCCACAGGCTTCTCAGGTCCCCAGCCACCAATCCCCAGGCTCTGCTCCCCACCAATTCCAAATACTCCCTTTCCAGATCAAGCACGGTGTCCTGGGCCCTAGATGGAGACAGCTGACCCCCACTCCCTACTGATTGAGATGGGGCACTGTTCAGGAAAGAAGGCCAGAACCTTCTAGAGGTGGCAGCCGGAGGCCTAGGCCAGCGGGACCATAATTGCTGTCTTCCCCAGTCCCTGCTGGACCTGCAGGGTTCTCTCTACTTCTGCCTCTCACCCACAGCCCCTCTACCAGGCAGGGGAAGACCAGGCATCCTCTAGGGAGGCCAGCACCGCAGTCCCCTCTGCCCCTGACAGCTCTGACTTTCCCGCTTGTCCCAGGTCATGCTGGTGGGGGACTCAGGAGTGGGGAAGACCTGCCTGCTTGTGCGCTTCAAGGATGGGGCTTTCCTGGCAGGGACCTTCATCTCCACCGTGGGCATCGACTTCAGGGTGAGAGTGTCCTGAGCACCGACCTGGCCCAGCCATGCCCTGGGCGCCCAACACCAGCTGGGTTCTCACCGCACCCCTGGGCAGCTGGCCCTCCAGTATCCCCATAGTACTGACAGGCTCACGAGGGAGAGCTCCTGACGGAACCACCTGGCTCCCGGGGTCAGGGGGGTTGAGGTGGATGCCATAACCACCAAGTTGCTGGCTCCCAACACCCAAGGGTCCTGGACAGCGGTGGTGGCTGCATCTGACTGAAGCAGACATAGCAGCCCTGTTCCTTTAGCTATATCCTGTACCGCAGGGGAAGTGGGCATTGGTGCCCCCAGGGTGGTGGCCATCAGGAGGAACTCAAGTCCCACGTCCCCCTGGGAGGCCAGTGCCGCTGCCCTACTGTAGAGGGGCCGAGGGGCCGGACTGACCTACAGGACAGGTAGTGGTGGTGGAGGACACCCCATTCCAGAGCTCAAAAGGCCCCTGCCCTGGGGTGAGGACGCTCATGAAAAGATGCTCCCATCTGGCCGCTCCCCCACCAGAGCCCTCTCACAATCCGCCCCTCCCCTGGGGGGCTGTGTCCCAGGGTGCCTCTGGGGGCATGCCCTTGGACTTTGGCTCCCCTCCATGAACCCCACACGTCCTGTGGGGTTAGCAGGGAATGATGCAGGCCACAGCCTTAAGCTTGTGGGTCTTTGGCATCAGAATGCCCCACCTCTGCCCACCAGTCTAAACTCTGCATGCCAAGGCGCTGTGTGTTCTCAGCAAACCCCAAATTTGCATTTTTCTCACCCTTTAACTACACCCAATTGTCTGAAGGCTGGAAGCCAGGCCCATCCTGGAGACAGGAAAGGGGGTCTCCATCCAGCCTGGGGAGCCATTCTTTACCCTGGAGGGGGTGGGGCATGTCCCCTCAAGTCCTCTCGGATGAGGGAAGGATGGAGGTGCCAGAAGTGGTGGCTGGGGCCCAGGCAGGCCATTCTTTGTTTTGTCCCACATTCCCCTTCTCACCTCCCTCTTGGCTCTGGGGCAGGTGGTGAGGGAGGTGAGGTGTTTGGTTCACACCCTTGTTCGGGGTGCCAGGGAAGGCGGTGTCCTTCCCAGCCACCTTCCAGTCCAGCAGATGGCTGGGCTTGGTTTCCCAGAGCCCCAGAAGCGCCCTAACGGCAGGAGCTTGGGAGGAGGGAGGTGGTGGCTTTCCAGCTGCCAGGGGCCTCAGCTGGAGGTTCCCAGCAGATGGGAACTGGCACTGGTCTCTCTGCCTCCAGTAGTGGGCTGGGAGGGCCCAGCTGATGAGCATCACCAGCCAGCACACACAGGAGCACCTGCTGCTTACCAGGCACTGTTCTGTGCTCCATGGGTGCTGCATTGGGCACTGTCCTCGGGAGCTGCTGTCCCGGCAGAGGCTTTTAAAAGAAATGCTTTTGTCCCCACTGGACCAGACACAGTTCTCAGTGCTCTGCTCCTAAGAGCTCAGTCACTGGAGCAGCCATATGATGGGTACCCTGGCTCTGTGGATGGGGAAACCAAGGCAGTGTTAGTAACGGGCCTGTAGTCACACCACGGGTGATTTCAGGTAAGTCATGCAAGTGGTAAGCAAGAAGAGCAGCCTGTACAGAACTGTGAAAAGTGCTGGTGGCCTGCAGGAGGGGACAGGGGGCAGAGCCGGAGCACAGGGACAGGCATGCAGGTGAGGCCAGCTGGGCCTGCCACCAGGGAGAGGAGGGGCTGGGCTTGAGAGGAACTGGGGGAGGGGAGGGCCAGAGCAGCAGGACTCAGTTGACTGGCTGGGGTGGTAGCAAGGGGCCCTGGTGGGCAAGAACCTGCAAGTCCATCAGGATGGCCATCTGGGCTGAGCAGAGGGCCTGGGCACCTGCCGTGTATGGTCACTAGGAAGGACTCATCAGGGGGAGAGCTGTGTGCACCCCCAGGACTTGAATTTAAATCCTGCAGGTAGAGGGAGGTGAGGTGGTCAGGTAAGACCAGGCAGTGGACAGAGCCCAGAAAGCTGAGGGGCAGTGGGGTAAGCATGAATTCAGGGGCACGCCAGATGCCCCTGTCTCAAGCTCAGTACTGGCTTGGCACTGCCTGCCTCCCACCTTGGGAGCCCCCACCAGGGTAGCTGCTGCCAGGAATGGTGAAGTGGGCACTGAGCCCTCGCTGGTTGTGTTTCAGAACAAAGTTCTGGACGTGGATGGCATGAAGGTGAAGCTGCAGGTGAGAGGTTGCCAGAGGGTTGAGGGTAAGGGTCACCTGGGGGAGACGGGGCAGCCCTGACCCTGGACTGTACCTGTTGCTGCAGATCTGGGACACAGCTGGCCAGGAGCGTTTCCGCAGTGTCACTCACGCCTACTACCGTGACGCACATGGTGAGATGCTGTGCATGGGGTGCCAGCCCCAGGGAGTCGGGATGTGCTCTGCGGGTGCCCTGCCCCCTCAGCTTCTGCTTCGGGGGGGGGACCCTTGTGTGAGTGGGATAGGAAGCATGGACGGTGTAGATGACAGGGAGCTGCTGTGAGCCTGAGGTTCTCCCTCTGCCCCCAGCACTGCTGCTGCTCTATGATGTCACCAACAAGGCCTCCTTCGACAACATCCAGGTCAGTGGCTTCCCTCCTGGGGTTGTGGGGGCGCAGGCCACATGAGGGTCTGACCACATCCCCAGACTCACTCAGGCACAGGTGGCCTCAGGGTCCTGGACGGTTCAGAGGACCTTGACAGCAGGAAGGGGAAAGACAACCCCTCTGGGCTCCTGGTGGCCCAAGAGTGGTGGCTCAGGTTGAGCAGAGCTGCAGGGAGACTGGCTGACTTTCCAGCCTCAACAGCTCAACACCCTGGGTAAGGCACCTGTCAGGGCACCTGGGGAGACCATCCTGTTATCCAGAGGCCGACGGGCACTGTGGGCTGTGGCCTGCAAGGGTAAGGGGTGCAGGGAGCACCAGCCTCCAGCCTGGCCTCAGCTTCCCCCACCAGGCCTGGCTGGCTGAGATCCAGGAGTACGCCCAGCACGACGTGGTGCTCATGCTGCTCGGCAACAAGGTGAGCACCCCAGCCTGTCTTCTCCATCCTGGCTGGGTGGCAGGGGTTCAGGTGTGTGCCAGCTCTCAGTAAAACCCCTGTGCCAGGTGGACTCTGCTCAGGAGCGTGTGGTCAAGAGGGAAGATGGGGAGAAGCTAGCCAAGGTGAGTTACCAGGGGGAGGCTGGCCAGGCAACACCCCAGGGACCGCAGGCCTAGGCTGTCCCCACCACACTGCCACGGGCTGACAGCAGCTGTTTGCAGGAGTATGGGCTGCCCTTCATGGAGACAAGCGCCAAAACAGGGCTCAATGTGGACTTGGCCTTCATAGCCATAGCAAAGTAAGTCCTGCAGTCACCAGGAAGACCCCCAAATGCAGGGTCTGAATCCCCTTGTTGGGGGCAGACCACCTTATTAGTCACCCTACCCCACAGGGAGTTGCAGCAGCGCTCCACGAAGGCCCCCAGTGGGGCTTGCTTCCAGCTGCATGACTATGTCAAGAGGGAGCGCCGAGGGGCCTCGTGCTGCAGACCCTGAACCTGCCAGGCTCGACTGTCCGCAGGTCCCTGACTTTTGCCACCCAGCAGCCAATCACAGGGTGTCTGTTTCCAGGGCTCCCAGGCTGAGCCTGCCCTTACTTTGTCCTGGAAGACAGTCTAAGAACCTCTGTCTCAACAGGCTTCAGGCAGTCAGCAGGTCTGCGGCCCCCTTTCACCTGCTGCTGCCTGAGGACAAGGCCCCCAGGGCCTTCAGAGAAGTAGTTCTTCTGTTGACTTTGTCAGGCACACCTGGCTTCAAGGCTGGGCCCTTGTGCTGGCACCACACATACAGTGCCTAACCCCCCCAGAAAGCCATGTCTTCAGCTGCCCTGCATGGCGCAGGAGCCTTCACTGGCAGTCACTGCCAGCTTTTGTGCCCCAAGGACCAGGGCTGCCTGCTCCCAGCCCACACTAAGGGGCTCTGGTTTAAACATCAGAGTCTACATAACACAGTACCTTGGAGGATGCCAAAGCCATTGCTTTGAATAAATCACATAAGTTGCCAGGGAAACTAGGATTGCTGGCCCACAACTGAGGCTTGTGCTTGTCAAGGTCAGGCCTGGGGTTGGTAGTATGCTCCACCTTGTACTAAAATCAAGTCAGCTTTTAGTTCAAAACCTTTGTTTCATTCTTAGTGAATAAAGTTATGCTTTCTGGAGTGCTTGTCTCTTCCGTTGAGAGAGAAACTACTCTTTTGGGCCCTCAGTTCCTCAGTATGGCCCAAGACCCAACATCAGTACCAAGAAGATGGCACTGCCCCTCCTCCACCAACACACAACCAAGCTGGCAGAGAAAGAATCGCAGGGCTGTTTGGAACCCCAACACTGTCGAGGACACGCGGGAACCTAGGTGGTTAAAAACCAAAACACGAACGACAAGAAGCGGTTCTCAGTGAAGAATCAGAGCTCATGACACATCCCAGAGCAAAGGCACAAAAAACGATCCTTTTTGTGGCCTTAACAAGGAAAAACGGAGGCAGTTCCAATGGGAAGGAAGTCACGGTTGTGAGCTTTCATTTTCATGTCTCTTCCCCTTCCCAGCACGGCCCGGCATCAGTCAGTCTTTTGGGGTGCGAACGGCGTGTGAAAATAAAGACGCTTAGGCTCCACTCAACTTCCCCATCTTTGGTTTATTACTAAGCACTTCACATGCAGACATGACTCCTACCTCACCACCAGGCCCCCGGACTGATGCGGAGTTACGTTCAAGGTCTTCAGCAGGGTCACCGATGGCCCTAAAGGTCAGAAAGCGCCGAAAATGTAGACTGGTGGGCCACTCCCCGCCCCTTTCCCCACTTTGGGCAAAATACTTCATCCACAGCTCCCCTGGTCAAGGTAGTGAACCCTGAAGCCTCAGTCTTGCCAAGTAATCAAACTGCACATGCAGTTTTCATACGAGGTGTCAGAAAGCAATTCATCATTGGGTCGGAGCTTCATCGGGAAAACCAGATATGGCCCAGTCTTACCTGTAGGGAGATGTGCGTCTGCGGGTTCGCTCTCGCCTAAGAACTGGAGGGGGGATATGAAACGTGCAAAAGAGGAGCCCGGGCCGAGTCTGGACCCAGGGCTGGCGGCCTGCGGGTTTAAGCCACCTCTTCCGCGCTCCGTGCGTCCCCGGATCGTGGCGCACGACACCCACTCACCCGCGTAACCCCTTTTCGTCTCAATCCCGAAAGAACGAGTGCTAGCGATTCTCCAGCCTTTATAGAAACTTCTCATGACTGTGATTGGGCAATCCTGCCGGAAGTACCACTCCCTCACCTCTGATTCGCTCCGCTCTCTACTTTCCGTGGTTTTCACCAATCGTACCGTGATATTTCTTTAGGGGACACACCCAGACCCCCCACATCAGGAGCTCCTCCCTTTTGCCGAGGCCTTTGAAAAGCTGAGTGACGGAAGCATATAGCCAATCAGACTCCGATGCAAAATAGAGTGACTCTAAAGCCGCCAATTCGTCCCCGCGTCGTTAGAGCCACCGGAAGTCGTTTCTGAAGAGACCTCCCCCTCCCTGAGGCGGCCGCCCTGGCCCCGAGAGCCGGGGAACTACAAGTCCCGGCGGGCTTCGCGCCTGAGAGCTTCCGGCGCGCGCTTTCAGCCTCTTTCCCGGCCAGAGGCCGAGGGGGGCACCATGAAGCGGGAGGGTGGCGGCGCCGCTCCCGGGCGGCCGCGGGCGGGTGAGTGTCCGTGCGGCGCGCCCGGATGGGTGCTCGCGCCTCGGGGCCGCTGGGAGGGGCGGGCGCGGCGGGGTGGGCTTGGGAGGAGGGTCGGGGGCTCGCGTCGGTCCGCCCCCTTGCCTGTCAGCGGGCCCGCAGCCCGCTCCGTTCCTCCGTTCTCCCGTCTTCAGTCATGCCTTGTTCCGGCGCGTGTTGCGCGCCGGGAGACCGCGGAGAGTGCACCCAGTTCTCGTGGCCTCTTTTCGTGCAGCGTTTCTCAATCTCGCCACTGTTGACACTACGCGAGCGTCACTCTCTGCTGCGCCGTGTGCGATGTTGAGCAGCATTCCTGGTCTCCACCCACTATATAGCAGTTACCTCCCCCACCCCCGTGGTGACAACCCAAAATGTCTACAGACGTTGTCAAACGTCCCCTGGGGGACATAACCCACCACCTTGAGAACCGGTGATCTGGGGGCGTGGGGTGCGGGGTGTACTGACAACACAAAGTCATGATCACTTCTGATAGGTGCTAGGAGAGAAAGAAACAGGGCGCTGAGACAGAGAGAGTCCTGGGAGCCTGAAAGGCCGGGTGTGGAATGCGGGGGGGCGGGGCTGCAGCAGGCAGCCTGTCCTGGGAAGTTGCTCAAAGAGCATGCCAGGCAGAGGGAGCAAGATGTGCAAAGGCCTGGAGTGAGGGAGGGCTAGCGTGCATGAATGAGAACTGGCCGAGTGGTGAGAGGCTGAGGCCAGATGGTGCAGGGCGGCAGGGACTGTACTGTGCTTCAGGGCAGGCTGCTGGAGGACTCGGGCACAGGATAGCCAGCGTAAGGTTCACTTCTAGTAAAGAGCCTCTGGTCCAGGATTGGGGATGGACTGTGGGGTTCACTGTGAGGATCAGAGAGTGAGGACCCAGATTCCCCGTTGATTCTGGCTACCTTGAGCCAGGCCAGGGCGTTGAGTCTGGTGCCCTGCTGGACCCCCCCACCTGTGCTGGGGGTGGTGAGGGATGGAATTCCACCCTATTCTGCTTAGAGCTCTGGGCTGCCTAGCCTGTCTGCCCACCCTTTTCCCTATCCCTCAAATCCAACCCCATGGACACACAGGCCTCTCTCCTGGGGGCTGCCTCCCCTCCGGCCCCTGCCAAGCATATGGCCTCCCTCTTCCTCATTCCTTCTCTTTGGGCCTCTCCCTTCCCACACTTCTTCCCTGAAGGCCTCCGTGGCAAGCACTAACTCTCTGTCATAAACCCCCACTTTCACTGCCCCAGGTAGTCACGTTTCTCTGTAGAAGCCCAGTCCCCTGTACCTCAAGGTTCCTACATCCTACAGCTGTACCATCTCCAGGAAGCCAGAGCTTCCCTCTGAGGGAGCAGGGATATGGCAGCCTGGCCGAGGAGGAGGGGTCCAACCCCAGGGGTCCCTGTGGAGTAACTCTCACTGTGGCTGTGCATCACTATCTTTCTGGAAACAAATGGAAAAGATCAGGGTCTTCAGGATTGACTTAGGTGGGATAGGAACCCACAGAAAAGTGCCTTTGGCAGGCGGAATGGAGCTTAGCAGTACCCCCAGCCCACTGTCTGCCTCCCCTAGCTCCTAGCTGCTCCAGGGTCATACTTACGTTTAGCCATCGCCACGTTCCCTCTCTCCAGCATAGTCCTGGCATGCAGTGGGTATGAACCTTGGCCAGCTGGCTAGACAAAGGCATGAACAGTTTTGGAAATGGGAGAAGTTGCACTTGAAGGGTCTGAGCTGGCTGGGAGGCTCCAGGCAGCCTGGACACTGATTTGGCTGCTCCCTGGCATGGCTTGGCACTGGGCTGGTTTACGCGCACAGTGGAGCTCCCTGGTTTGCTGGCAGCAATGGAGGAGGCAGAAGGAACAGAGCTGTGGTAAGATTTGGCATGACCTCTAACAGGCTGCATCAGCCTCTGTTTTCAGTTCTCAAAGGGGAGCTGCTGTCAGCAGAGGCTTCACTTATGACTCATGTATTGTCTCATCTCTCACGATTCTTTCTAGATGTGGGTATATTCACTCCATTTTATGGGTGAGAAATCTGAGGCCCAGGAGGGCAAGCAGTGTGCCCAGAGTCACACAGCTGTTAGGTGGCGAAGGTGGAATTTACATACAGGTGTGAGTCCGGCATTTGTGGCTTTGACCATGATGCCGTTCTGTCTCTGTAACACACCTGGAGGGCTCAATGTAAGCACGGGAGTGAAGTGCCAGCACATGCCCAGCCCTGGAAGGTGTCAGCAGGATGTGACTTGCTCTGAACCTGGGTCCCCACCAGCCTGGCCTCGCTGGTGGGTGGCCATCGAAGACTTCACCAGGCCCTCTGGCTGGCTCATGCAGGAGCGACCCTCAGAAGAGGGCTCACCAGCTCCTTGACTCTCAGCAGGTGCCCGCAGTGTTGTCCGTGAACTGGCCCTGGGGCAGAAGAGATGTGGCTGTTCTGGAGGAGCAAGGAGTCAGGTGCAGAAGACAAAGGAGGAAGTGGGTGCTAAAGTCACAGCAGACCAGGCACTCAGCCACTCAGGCAGGAAGATGTGGACTGCCTGGAAGCCTGGTTGGGGGTGAACCAATCCCAGGAGCACCTAGAGAGGGGCATCCAGGTGGAAGGAGCAGCCCTGCAGAAACCAGGACACAAAGGCTGTACCAAAGCGGCTGATGGGGCTACGGCCTGGGCTGGATGGTGAAGCGGGCGGGGCAGGACTCTGCCCTCTGTGTCTGCCGCACCTTCAGACTCAGATCTGGCCCAGGGACTATGCGTATGCTTCCCAGCTTCAGCAAGGAAGCGAGAAAGAGGAAGCCAGGGAAACAGAAGCCACACGGAGGGTGAGGAGAAGACAGCTGGGTCCTGGAGGTATAGCGGTGCTTTGGGACCAAGGCCCACACTGTTTCCATGAGTTTAGACCTGCTGATATAGACCGCCAGGGACATGCTTCCCTGTTCTGTCCCTGCTCCCAGGGCCTGACTAGGCCCTGTGTTGGAGGGGGCATGTGGGCAGGAAAAAATGATCCCTGCAGCTGGGCACTGATATAGGAGGACAAATGCCACATCTTCCCAGAATGTTCTCTCCCTGCTCTGGATCTCACCCCTTCCTGCAGGAAGCCCTCTGGACATCCCCCAGGCTGGGCCAGGGCCCTACCCCATACATACTTTTGTGTGGGAGAGAAAGGACAGGGAGATGAGGCTGGCCACAAGCGGCAAGCTGGGAAGTGAAGGCATTCCCCTTGCTAAGTGGGGGTAAAACCGAGTCAGCCAACCAGAAGGGACCCTGTCCCTCCAGCAGAGGGACCCATGGACACTGGAGAGACTGCAGCTGAATAGGAAAGGCAGGGAGGGCTGGGTGAGGGGTGCAGGAGTGCAGAGCCCTGGGGAGAGGAGAGCACAGGAGGCATCCAGGTGGGCAGCCTCCAGGTCTGTGTGTAGTCGAGGCTGTGAATGCAGAGAGGATGGGAGGTGAGGGCAGGGCTGGGCTGCATGCTGGGAAACAAGGGGGGTTGGGCAGACTTCAGACCAGGGCCTGCTGAGGGGCTGAGGGGGTCCCCGATGTCACTCCTGCCCATTTGGGATGGAGAGAGCATGCTAAGGGGACATCAACGGACAGCTCAGGGAAGTTTGTGTGGCTTTGCTGTGGCAACGAGGCCTGTTTCTATAGAGTTTGGCAGCTGGGCCTGGACTTGGGCCAGGGGACCTGGGGTTAGGTGGTGACCCAGGAGCTGGGCTGGAGCTCTGGCCCATGTCCAGCCAGCCACCCATGGCTCTGTGACAGGTGGGGCTGAGGTGTCTGAGCCACCAGTGTGCCTCCCTGGGGCAGTCACTGCTAGTGTAACCTGACAGGTGTCCGGGGTGTGTCTGCTTCCTCGTTGGCTTGCTTTTCTGGAGATCTCCCGCTGCCCGCTGCCTGGGGTTGCTGGAGAAGGTGTCCCGAGATGGGGCTTGGCCCTGGTAGGGGTCTGCGTCTGACTACCCACTGCCCCCACTCCAGTGTGCCCAGTCTGGGCTGCCCATTCCACTGGCTGCCGGCCACAGGGCCCAAGTCACATTTGACCCCGTTGTGAATGCTTCCCTAGGAAAAGAGGGGAGACCAGCAGATTCCAGTAGGTCCCCTGAAGGGGATGAGATGGGGAAGGCTTCCTGTGCTCCCTCCCGGGCTGCCCAGACAAGGGGGTGGGGTGCTTCCCTGAAGGGGGCAGGGGCATTACTGGCAGATCTCTGGTTCCTCACTGGGCGGTGAGCACATGGACATGATCAGCCACAAGCCCCAGGCCTGACTCCAGGCTCAGGCAAGGCAGCTGAGGGGCTCTAGGTGGGCTGCTCCCGCACAGACCCTGAGCACTGCCACTCTGCCACCAGCCTTTCCCGGGGCAGACAACCCATTCCCATCAGGACCTGAGGTCTGTTCTCGTTAAGGGGCCTGATCCCCGGGTCCCACCCCTGGGCTCTGCTGAGTGAGGCACGTGGAACAGGTAAGGCGGGGACTTGTCAGGGAGGGCAGTGGGAGCAGAAGGGAGAGCCCCTGCTCACCAACCCCACCCAGGTGTTCCTACCTGCTGTGCTGTGGCTTTTCCGTTTGGGAGAGGCCAGGCTCCTGAGTAGGTGAGGATTCTTGCTCTGACAACTTCCTGCCCACCTGGGAGCCTCAGGCCTGCTGTGGGGTGGGGAAGAGGCCTTTCTAGGACGGCTGGGCACAGGGGGTGCAGGGCTGTGCTGTCCTGTTTACAGGGTTTTTGGCCTGCAGGGCCCAAGGATACCAGGGAAGATTGTTACTGCAAAATGCAGTCCCCAGGAGATGGGGCTGAAGGCCTCTTGCTCAATTCTGTGATGCTCTGGGCGGGGCCCACAGATGGGTGCTGTCCCCCCTCCCCTCCCTCCCTCGCTTAACAGGGTGCACGGGCCTGTCTTATGCATTCCCCACCGGGTTGTGTGTGGAGGCTGCGGGCCTGCCTGTCTTTGGCCGCCTGGGGACTTCCCAGCCATCCGAGTTGCATGTCACCCTGCAAGCCCTGCGTGCCTTTCTGTTTACTTCACGCTAGAGCCAAAGAGAACCGGCTGCCTGCTGTCTGACTGCAGCAGCAGGCGTAGTGCACAGGACCCGTGGGGCTGGCGGGTTGGCGGTGGTCCTGGGGGGTGTGCCTGCTGAGATGCTGGCCTCCCAGATGCAGGTGCTGCTTGCTGGGGCCAGCAGCTGGCCTCTCAGCCCTGGGAGCTGGCAGTGGAGGTAGGACATGGATGGTAAAAGCTAGGTCAGTGCAGACAGTGGGCTCCCAGTGTGCCCAGTGGTGCCAAGGCAGGAGCCAACCTTGGGCTTCCTGAAAGGGCAGAGCCTTTCACGCTGCCCTCCTGTCCTGGGGTGCCTGTGTGCAGGCTGTCTGGGCCTGGCCTGGCTGGGGTGCCCTTACCACGTGCAAGGGAGCCTGCTTAGCATGGAGGCCAGCAGCTGCACCGGAGGTGAGGGTCTGGACACACCGTTTCCACATCTCTGCTCGAGGGCCTGCTGCCCACTCTCAGGAGCCTCTGCTGCTCCATGCGCACAGGCCACCCCACCAGAGCCTGGTCTGGGGCACTCGGTCAAGCCCCTTGAGTCACAGCGGGGGAGATGTGGGTATGAGAGGGAGGCTTTGGCCAAGTGCTAAGGACCACTTTCCTCTAGCTGGCCTGACAGGGCACTTGGAGGCCCCCTGGGAGTGCTTGTAGTGAGGGCACCCCACTGGGGCCTGAGCCTTGAAGGCTGAAGGAGGCCCTGCAGGTGGCGTTTGAAGGGGCAAGTGGGGAGAGAAGGATGAGGAGACAGGAGGGGCAGCAGACAGCTCTGGAGCACAGTGTGGGAGCACAGCCCCTTCCCACAGACCTGAGGGCTGGGCTGGGGGACCCCTGGGCAGAACCTGTCCACACTGCATGGCTGTGGTGTATCTATGGGGTGGACATCACCAGATGGCTCATGTCAGGAGGGCCTCCAGGAAGGTGCTGTACTCACATCAGGTGAGGCAAAGAGCATCTCCTGCCTTCTCCACAGCCCTTCTACCTGGAGCTCTTCTCAGTCCTGGGGGCCCCCCAGCCTGCCACACCTCCCTGAGGGCTCCATGGTGCGCACCCTGAAGGTTGGGCTGGGCAGCTTGCATGAGCCCCTGGTGTGGCCTCCTGCCTCCTGGAGGGCTGCCTGGGGATTTCCTGAGGTGGAGGGCTAGAAGGGGGCCAGTGGCAGCAGTCCTGGGAGCGTGGCCTTCCTCCTCGCGGGGAGCCCACCTTCAAGATGGGCTCTCTCTCCACTCTAAACGTGGCCAACTGCGGGGCCATGGCAGGTGACAGGGCTCCTGGCTGCAGACCGCTGAGGTCCTGGCATGGGGAAGCCTGCTCAGGGGGTGCCTGCTGCCAGGCTCCCCCACCCCCCACCTGGCCTCTGTGAGCTGCTGCTGGGTCTCATCTCTTCCCTGGCCTGCAGGCCTTCCTCAGCCTGGCCAGTGCGCCACAGGCCCATCTCCCCTGTGGGGTGGGAGTCACTGGGGCCTCGGATGGTTCCTACCATGTCTTCTCCCTGCCACCCAGCCTCTGAGCCTTGAGGCACACAGCCGAGGAGCAAGGGTATGTCCTTTATTTCTGAGGAGGGTGACCTGCACAAGGTCAGTAGGCAGGCTTGTCTCTCTCCTCCCCACCTCAAAGGTGCTTTATCTGTGCAACAGGGCTTGAGGAGCTGGGCCCGTCACGCACCTGACAGCTTCTTGGCGTGGCCGGTGTCCCTCCATCCTGCAGATGGCTGGCCAGGACCTGACCACGCCTGCCCTAGTAGGAAACAGGCACAGGGCTTGCTGCTGCTGCGTGTACCACACCACAGCGCAGCCTCGGCCCAGGAATATTCGTGGCCCAGGTGGGCTCGTGGCTGCGTGTGCATACCCAGAGGGTCCGACAGAGCACAGCTGGGGGCTCTCCACCTTTTTGGTGGAGCTGGTGGGCTTTTCTGAAGGGCTAAGCCTTGAATAAAGGTAAAACTGAGTGCCAGCTGCCTGCCCAAACCAGGGACCTCCTCCTTCCCTTGGGCTTACGCACCCCTGGGATGGGTGGGAGGGGAAGGGACTTGGCCTACGTGGACCCACTCTCATCAGTACCGTGAGGTGGTGGAGGGGCGGAAGCACACCCTGTGGTGGCCTGGTCAGAGCAGGCCAACTGATGGGGGCCTGGGCCGCCATCTCTAAAACCCCTCCTTGTGCCCCACCCCCAGGAGACGCTGCCCAGGGACCCTGGATGCCTCTCTAGAGCATGAGCTCGGGCAGGGGCTCCCGCTACGACCGCTTCTCCGGGGGGCCCCCCAGCCTGGCTGCTCCAGACGTCTCCAGTGGGGTAAGGGCCTGCCCTGTGCACACTCACAGAGCCCAGTCCCCAGCAGGGCTTCCAGCGCATCCCCTCTTGCCAGGTTGCCTGGTGTGGTGGGCTCATGGCTGCGTGTGTACCAGGGCACGTTAGTGTGAAAACCTGTCAATGTGTGTCCACACATGGGCCCATGTCCTCTCTGGGGGCTGAGGCTGAGTCTCACCCGTCCTCTCTCCAGACCAGAATGGAAACGACCTTCGGGCCTGCCTTTTCTGCCGTCACCACTATCACAAAAGGTGAGCCTGTGACCCCGGCCAGCTGGTGTCAGAGAGGCCATGCTGCTCCCGCACGACGCCCCCACCCGGCTTCTCTGGCACCTCCACACACACCTGTCGCTTGTTGCAACAACCTGCAGTGCCTCCCTGACCAGGCTCCTGGCAGCCTCTGGGAGGTTGGGATGGGGCCTGTGTGGGACATGGCTGGGTGGTAGGAAGTACTCACGGGACTCTTCTCTGAGTCCGGCTCCACAGCCACAGCCCAGCACTGTGTTTGATGAGACTGGAGCCGGCACACCAGGCCCAGAGGCTCTGCCCCTACCTGGCCCATCTGCCAAGGGAGCCCAGCTCCGACCACGGGGTGTCAGGCTCCCCGCACAGCCCACATGCACAGCGTCGGGCTCCCTTCTCTCTGCAGCTGACGGGACCAGCGCATACAAACACCGCAGGACGCCCTCCTCCTCCAGCACCCTGGCCTACTCCCCACGGGATGAGGAGGATGGCATGGTAGGTCTGCCCCCTCCACCCTGGGGGCCGGGAGCCTGGAGGGCCTGAAGGTGTGGGTTAGCTACAGGGTGTGTCCTGGGATGAAGTCAGCAGGGGGCAGTGAGCTGGGGAGGCAGGGCTGGCACATGTGGGTGCCCTGAGGCATGGGCAGCTGGGCTGCAGGTGTGGCCCCTGTGCACCAGGACGAGATGCAATTGGCTCCGTCTTTAGCGGTGTGTGAGCCACAAGGTTCAGTCAGCGGGTCACAAGATCAAATCCCCATTTTTAAAGCTCCTGCTGCTTCTAAGTAAACGACAAGTGGATGAGCTGCCAGGTGGAGTGAGGAGGGCTGAGCAGGAGGTCCTAACGAGGGAGACAGGTGGGGAAAGATGGCCGGTCCAGCTAGGGGGTCAGCAGAGGGAGCCCACTAGGCCTGTACTGACCGCTGCGGAGCCGGAGAGCGCCTGTCCCTGGCTCTGCGGGGCAAGGAAGGCGCTCGGGGCAGTCAGAGCTGGCTGTCAGGGCCCACGTTGTGAGACCACACTGGTGACAGCTCTCCTTGCAGGGGCAGTGGCCCCGACAGACTGCTGCTTCTCCTGCCTTCCCAGCCTCCCAGGACCAAAGGCCTCTTGTGCTGGGCTTCCAGACCTTTGTTTCCTATGTAATAATAAGAAAAAAATGTTTTTAATTATTTGAACAAACACTTGTGGGCAGGCCTGGCACTACGCCCCCCCTAAACATGACGTAAGTATGTTATGTCACAGTGCCGGCCTCCCTTCGACTGCTCTTGCCTCGGTCTCCATGGCCTCTGACCCACGGGCTGCTGGGGAGGGGACTGGCCTGGCCTCCCACCAGACCAGCCAGGACGGAGTGTAGCTGTGGGCTGGGTGTGGATGTGGGAAGTTTATGGGTCATGAATGAGGCTTCTGGGTGGGTGGGGAGTGTGGGGAGCCGTGGCACCACAAGATCTCTTCTGGGGAGGAAGGGACGGCGCCCCCCAGCATGGGACTCCCCTGAACCCCCATCTTCGTCGGCCCTCCCTTCTGTACTTAGAAGCTTGGCGAGGGTTTGGTTGCAGTGTCCTGCCTTCCTGGGATCCCCACTGGCCAGGCCCAGTGTGGCAAGCCCCCCAGCCTCCCCTGGTGGCCCCCGGTCCCCTCCCCTCCAGCAGTGCGGGGCTGCAGAGGCCCAGGATTGGCTGTCGGAGGGGCCCCTCTGCGGCCCGCAGCCCCTCACGGGAAGCAGGAAGCAGGCCGAGCGCGTCCTCCTGGAACTGAATAGCAGGAAGTCTCTCCATTCACACAGGGGTTGGCCGACATGAGCCGGGGCCTAGCGGCAGGGCCGGGGCCGCTGGGGGCCTGGGTGCTGCAGCGGCTCACTGAGCGCGCGCCGCGGCCCCCGCGGGCTGGGTGAGGGCGCCGCCCGCGCGCCCGCCGGGCCGGTCTCCCACCGCCGACACCTGTCTGCCCGCAGCCCCCTGTCAGCACTCCGCGCCGCTCCGACTCGGCTGTCTCGGTCCGCTCCCTGCACTCGGAGTCCAGCATGTCCCTGCGCTCCACGTTCTCACTGCCCGAGGAGGAGGAGGAGCCGGTGGGTGTGCTGGCCAGGGCGCCCTGAGGACCCTCGCCGTGCTGTGGGCACAGTGAGGAGCCGGTGGGGCCTGGTCACGGCTGGTCCGCGTCGGGGACCCTGAGGCCAGACTGGGTTCCCGGGGCACGTTCTCCCCGCTCCCACCCCGGGGGCTGCCCAGGGACCACCTTCGGGTAGCGAAGGTGGCTGTGTGGGGCCCCGTGGCCTCCATCCCGTGGAGGAGGCGTGGGCATGCTGGAGGGGCCCTCCCTGCGTGGGCCCCTCCGTAGCCCTCCCTCTCTCCCAGCGGAGGCGTTCCCTCCAAGGCCCGGGCCCCGCCCTCCACACCCCAGCCCGCGCCCACCCTGCTTGGTCGCAGGAGCCGCTTGTGTTTGCCGAGCAGCCCTCGGTGAAGCTGTGCTGCCAGCTCTGCTGCGGTGTGTTTAAGGACCCCGTGATCACCACGTGTGGGGTGAGCCGCCCCGCCTCGCGCTCGCCAGGGGGGGGGCACGGCCCGGGCCCACTGCGGCGGGCGCGGGGTAGGGCGGCTCTGTGGCCACGCCCCAAGTCCGCCTGTTGTCTTCACAGCACACGTTCTGTCGAAGATGCGCGTTGAAGTCAGGTAGGGCCCTCCCAGACCCAGGCGGCCACTGTGTTCCCCAGCTTGGGGGGCTGTCCCTCCAGGGAGGTCCTGGCCTTCGCCCTCATCCTGCGCATGGCGTCTCTGCTGTGGGCAGCAGCGGCCTCTGGGCACGCATTCGGACCAGGCTCAAGACCTTAGTGGGCAGAGCAGTGGGACCCAGGCCTCGGCCTCCTGGGCTCAGCGCCCACTCTTTCTGGGGGAGGCTGCCCTTGCTGTCAGAGCTGCCTGGATCATAGTCCCAGGCCTAGAGCAGCTGGCCCCAGACCCCTGCCAGGCCCAGGGCAGGTTCCTGCCCACGTTCTCCCCAGCCCTCCTGGTGCTGCCCCAGACTCCCAGATCAGCTGAGAGGCCTCTTCATTACCTGCTTTGATCTATCCCAAAGATCATTCTTGGAGGCCCAGCCATGCACCCCTTCATGTTCCAGGCACCTTAGAGGGGTAGGTAGATGGTAGGATCAGGCTTCTAACAGAGGCTCAGCCACCCAGCCGGGGGGCTGCACTGGCTGTGCCCGACCAGCTGCGCACTAGGGAAGAGTTCTCCTTGTGTGGCTGCGGGGAGGGCTGTGGGGTCAGCATGCCCTCCCCCCAGAGAAGTGTCCTGTGGACAATGCCAAGCTGACAGTGGTGGTGAACAACATCGCGGTAGCTGAGCAGATCGGGGAGCTCTTCATCCACTGCAGGCACGGCTGTCGGGTGGCCGGGGGCGGGAAGCCCACCGTCTTTGAGGTGGACCCACGAGGGTGCCCCTTCACCATCAAGCTCAGTGCGCGGAAGTAAGTGATCCCCCGGCCCCCACCTCGAGACGGTGCAGCTGGGGACTGAGCCCCGGTCCCCCGCCCCCAGGGACCACGAGAGCAGCTGTGAGTACCGGCCTGTGCGGTGTCCAAACAACCCCAGCTGCCCGCCCCTCCTCAAGATGAACCTGGAGGCGCACCTCAAGGAGTGTGAGCACATCAAGTGTCCCCACTCCAAGTACGGGTGAGTGGGCGGGGGTGGGCATGCAGGGCCACCCCGGGGTGGTGGCAGGGATGGGTGGGCCTGGGCTGGCGTTCCCAGACCCTCCTTCACACCTTTGTTGAGATCCACCTGCGTGCTGGGCACTGGGGACACAGCCAGGGTCCCCTGGGAGGTGGACCTTAGCGAGAGCCACACCGTCAACTATGTAATTACACACTGAGGTACAGATGTTGTGAAGGACAGAGCTGCTTCTTCGCATGGGGACGCAGAGGGGACGGAGTGAGCCAGGCATAGCCCAGGCGCAGGGCAGGAAGCTGGCACAGGGCGCAGGGCAGGAAGCCCGCACAGGGAGCTGAGAGCAGAGGGGAGACCAGTGGGGGAGAGGCGGGAGCTGACCATCAGGGTGGGGCGATGAGGGGTGTGTGGGAGCCCTTTCGAGTTCAGGGAGCGAGCACAGTGCCTGCTTGCCCTGCATACTGGCGTGGGCTGGGGCAGGATGCATGAGGGCTTGCAGTGAGGAGGGATGACAGCCGATCTGGGGCACTGGGCACAGAGTAGGATTTAAGGCTCTTGGGGTCGGGGGAGGGGAGGGAGGGCCACACCAGGCAGGCAGGTAGGCAGGGTGGCTGACCTTACCTTGTAGGTGCACGTTCATCGGGAACCAGGACACATATGAGACGCACTTAGAGACGTGCCGCTTCGAGGGCCTGAAGGAATTCCTGCAACAGACAGATGACCGCTTCCACGAGATGCACGTGGCACTGGCCCAGAAGGACCAGGAGATTGCCTTCCTGCGCTCCATGCTGGGCAAGCTCTCAGAGAAGATTGACCAGCTGGAGAAGAGCCTGGAGCTCAAGTTTGGTGAGGGCCTGGCCCAGAGTGCGTTGGGGGCCAGCCCTTCCTCCTGGGCCGACACCCTCTTCCCGTCCCTCAGATGTCCTGGACGAAAACCAGAGCAAGCTGAGCGAGGACCTCATGGAATTCCGGAGGGATGCGTCCATGCTGAATGTGAGTGGGCTGGACCTTGGCTGGGAGCCGATGTAGGGAGGTTAGGTGGTGTGGGGACACATGACTGTCCCCTGGCTTGGCCCCAGCAGGAAGCTTGCCACACTCAGGATTAGGTGTCCGTAGCAGGAGGCTTGCTGCATCTGCCCCACCCTGGTGAGCCCAGGCCTGGGGTCAGGGGCTGTGCAGCCAGAGCCACCACACTCTCCACTTTTGGCCTTGGCAGGATGAGCTGTCCCACATCAATGCACGGCTGAACATGGGCATCCTAGGATGTGAGTATGGGCTCACCTGTTGCTCCCCCACCCACCCCACCACCCCCAAGGCCCCAAAGTCCCTTACCAGCTCCTTCCATCTCTGCAGCCTATGACCCACAGCAGATCTTCAAATGCAAAGGAACCTTTGTGGGCCACCAGGGCCCCGTCTGGTGTCTCTGTGTCTACTCCATGGGGGACCTGCTCTTTAGCGGCTCCTCTGACAAAACCATCAAGGTGGGTGGGGTCCTGCCTAGGGGGCTCTGCACAGCAGCATCTGCCAGTTCGTTTGCCCATAGGCAGGGCTTTTCCCCAAGGATGGCTTGCTTCCCCATTCTTGCCATGCTGCCCCCTAGCCCTGGGCTGACCCTGGTCCCCACAGGTGTGGGACACGTGTACCACCTACAAGTGCCAGAAGACGCTGGAGGGCCATGATGGCATTGTGCTGGCGCTCTGCATCCAAGGGTGAGCTCAGGTGCACGGGCACCCGCTGACCACAGGGCCCACTCGGAGGCAGGAACAGGGGACCCCAGGCAGCTGCCCTGTGCTGAGAGCTCAAGCCTGTCACTCAGGAAGCACTGCTCATGCACCAGCAGTGCTGCCAGGAGCAGCTGCCTCCCAGCTCAGCTGTCAGGTTCTTGCTGGGCAGGCACTCAGTAGGCCTCTGCTTCACAGTCCCCTTGCTGAGACAGGAAAACCGAGGCTGGGCAAGACAAGCACAGGTTTCTGGTGGCCACTGCACCCTCAGCCTGGCAGGGTGTGTCAGCAAGAATGGGGGCTTCTCTCACCCCGACACCTTGGTTTGGCTTCCCCAGGTGCAAGCTCTACAGTGGCTCAGCAGACTGCACCATCATTGTGAGTGGGGCCGGCCACACCGTGTCGGGGAGCTCCAGCACGCTGTGCCACTGGGGCCTGGGCTCAGGATGGCAGAGCTGGCACCTGAGGCTTCTGTCCTCCCTCCCTCCAGGTGTGGGACATCCAGAACCTACAGAAGGTGAATACCATCCGGGCCCATGACAACCCAGTGTGCACATTGGTCTCCTCGCACAACATGCTCTTTAGTGGCTCCCTAAAGGCCATCAAGGTAGGCAAGGTGTTGTGCGTTCATGTGTGGGACACCAGATGCCTGCCCGCCCACCCAGCTTGAGCTCATGACTGTCCCCAAAGGTCTGGGACATTGTGGGCACTGAGCTGAAGCTGAAGAAGGAGCTCACGGGCCTCAACCACTGGGTGCGGGCCCTGGTGGCTGCCCAGAGCTACCTGTACAGTGGCTCTTACCAGACAATCAAGGTATGGCTGTGCCAAAGTCCTTGGGGCCGGGCCCCTGCTTGTGTCAGCACAGCCCAGGCCAGCTCCTGAGGGCCCCCATCTTCCCTGCCCCTACCCCACTGGGGCAGGGAGACCCTCACACACACCCTGGGTGGTGGGAGGGCTGCCCAGTGTCTGAGGCCCTGGAGGTGAGGTGCCTGGCCAGGAACCAAGTGGCCAAGCTTGCCCATAGATCTGGGACATCCGGACCCTCGACTGCATCCATGTCCTGCAGACGTCTGGTGGCAGCGTCTACTCTATCGCCGTGACGAATCACCACATTGTCTGTGGCACCTATGAGAACCTCATCCACGTAAGGAGGGACGCCTCCGAGCAGGGCCTGACTCTGGGCTCCTGTCCTCTCCTTTCTGTGCCTCTGACCTGCCTGTACCTCTCCCTCAGGTGTGGGACATTGAGTCAAAGGAGCAGGTACGGACCCTGACGGGCCACGTTGGCACTGTGTATGCCCTGGCAGTCATCTCCACACCAGACCAGACCAAAGTCTTCAGCGCATCCTATGATCGGTCCCTCAGGGTGTGTGCTGGCTTAGTGATGGGAGGCTCAGGGCAGAGAGTCATGCCTGGGTGGGCCATCACATCCCATGTGCCCCTCCAGGTCTGGAGCATGGACAACATGATCTGTACACAGACCCTGCTGCGTCACCAGGGCAGTGTGACTGCACTGGCCGTGTCCCGGGGCCGGCTCTTCTCGGGGGCTGTGGACAGCACTGTGAAGGTCAGTGCCTTGGCTCAGGCCACCCAAAGGGGCAGCACATGTGGAGCAGGCTGGGGATGCAAAGCTAGCACCCCTGGGCAAGTGGCAGTGGAGGGCTGGTATGGATGGCAGGTGGCATGGGGCAGGGTGGCCAAAGGGGCACCTGAAACAGAGCCCTTCCTCTGCAGGTCTGGACTTGCTAGGAGGATCCAGGCTGGGTCTTGGTTCCTCTGGGCCTGCCCTCGGCCTGTCCAAGCCAGGCTGGCCACATGGGTGTTCGTGGGGTCTCTGCCTGCCCTGTGGGGACAGGCAAGCAGGCTCAGCCATCCAGCAGTGCCCTCCCCACCCTGCACCCAGTGAGCCTCCCTCTGCTTGGCCCTGTAATCATCACAGCCAAGATGGTGCCCAGCCCTTCTCCGGGTGTCAGGTACGACATTCACCTGGCCCACACCTCCATCCCACCCCGGAGGGACTGTGGGCCTTTTTACTCACTTTTTGTACTGTTTTTAGACTGTATATAGATTTGATTACTTCCTGACTGAAATAAAAGCTGCACAGACTGTGGCTGTGAGTGAGGACGGTCCTCGGTGTGCAGGAGTGGCCCGAGAGCCCTGGTGTGCAGACAGGAGCGGCAGTGGCAGGGAGGCTGGGGAGCAGCCACAGAGGGGTTCCTGTTGTCTCCCTAGGACAGGAGCTTCTCAGAAACTTTTCTTGCCAGGGACAGGCTAGCCACCCCCATGCTCCCCAACATACAAGCCCCCAAAAAGTGAGCCAGGCAGCTCCGTTTTCTGCTGTTTATTGACAGCCGACAGCAGCTTCCAGCCTGGCCCCCATCCCCACCTGCTGAGGGGCCAGACAGATGCATCCATTTGGGATGCACCAGGGTGTGACAGCTGGAATAGGCCTCACACACCGTCACCACCTTGGCCGACTCACTCCACCTGCCCGCATCACAATCACTGGTTTTTAGCATTTTCAGATTTTTTTTAAGAAATGTCGAAGTTGTGCCCAACACATGTGGATCAGCAAACACAACAGAGGAGGCCAGCCAGTAGTTTTTGGAGGATGGGAGAGGAAGAAGGAGGGGGTGAGAACAACCACACAACACAGCCTTGGACCACGAGCAGAAGCGTCCATGGGAACTAAGGTGGGAATGGGTTGGCTGCCTGCCCAGGGCTGTGTGGCCGCAGGGAGGGTCAGGCACACCCTCCCTCGCACCACACACAGCCTGGCATGCATACCTGCGCCCACTGCAGTCACCAGCAGGCGTGCCCACATTCACCATGCTAGGTGCACGGCTCCCTCAAAGCCCGGCGCACCCTCAAACTGGCACCCCCTGGGAGAAGAGGGAGCCTTCCCATTGTTTCCCAAGTGAGGGGGACACAGCCCAGCAGCGAGCAAGGCACATCCTTCAAGTTCTTCTGACGCAGAGAAGCTGGGAGAGAGAGGGGAGGGGAGGCCCTGGTGGAGCCTGGACTCCTCCTGGGACCCCAGCCTCCTGTTTGTGCTACTGGGCCAGGGATCCCACCATTCCTGGACAAAGGGAGGGAAGGACAGACAGATAGCCAGGGCCTCTAACAGCTTTTGTCTCAAGCTGGACTCATGTCCTTGCAGTTGGTAAATGTTTTTTTATAGAATCAATATTTTTTCTTTCTTTAAATATATATTTGTTAAAGTTATACCTTTTTGTTTCTCTGGGGAAATCTGCCTCAGCTCATTCCCAATAAATTAATACTCTCAGTAGCTTATATTCTGGGGTACAGTGAGGCAGGGGGCCCATCCCCCACCCCAGCCCCTTGTGCTGCGCTGGACCATCTGGCAGAGGTCCCCCCAATGGGCAGTTTCTGTGCTGGGCGTAGGCCTGTGCTCTGCCACAGATTGGGGAGCGGGCTACAGCAACTGCACCCCTCTCGCTGCCTCCCAGGGTGGGCCCAGCCTGGACTCAAGGCAGGGGGCTGGGCACTGCCCCCCAACACCCACAGCAAGCAGAGCCCGGCGGTGGGCGGGCGGGCGGCCCAGCAGTTATTGCACAGGGAGCAGCACACGGACGGGTACCCACTGGGCAGCATCTGCCCAGAGCCCTTGGGTCCCCCTGCCAGACAGTCCTCCAGGCCGGGCTTGCCGCCTGGGCCCAGGGGGCGGGAGTTGTGCTTGTGCAGGGGCTGGGCAGCACGGCCCGCCCCCGCCCGCCTGGCGGGCTGTCCCCTGCGCCCGGCCGCTTGCGCCGCGCCCCGAGGTGCCCGCCCTGAGGTAAAGGTCAGTGTGCGGAGGGAGCCCGGGCGGCGCGGCCGGGCCCGAAGTGGGCGGCCGGGTCACTCCAGCATGGCGTCCAGCTGGTCGGCCAGGTCGTCGAACATGCTGCCGATGTCATCCAGGATGCTGCCGGTGCTTTTCTCCTCCGCTGCCGGAAGGCTGCGGACGGGCGGGCGGGCGGCGTGAGCGGGGCGGGGCCGGCGCGTGCACTCCACGCGCGAGGCGCCGATCCCGCCCTCCGGGCCCCGCCCCTCGCCGCGAAGGCCACGCCCCCACGAAGGCACGCCCTGCCCCTACCGCGGGCCTTGGGCGTCCTCCTGCCGGATTTTCTCCTCCACGGCCTGCAGCGCTGCAGCGAGGCACGCGCTCGTCTCCTCCAGCTTCTGCCGGGCGCTGTCCCCCGGCGAGGGGCCGTCGGGCGCGGCTGGGGACCCGGTGGCGGCGGCGCGCGGTGGCTTGGCGGGCGCGTGCAACGCGGGCGCGCCCGGGGACGGGGGCTTGGCCGGACTGGCGCTCAACGAGGGCGGCGTGCTGGCCGGCTTGGCGAGGGCGGCTGGCGGCTGGCGCGCGGGCGAGGGCGCGGGTGACGGGCTGGCGCTGCCGGACGGCAGCCCCGCCGCGGCCTTGGCCGGCTTGGGCGCCGTCGGCGGCGGTGGCGGCTTGGGCGACACGGGCGGAGGTGTGCCGTGGGCGCGCTTTACCTCTGCCGGGAGGAGACGCGCTCGCAGACGGGAGGCCCCAGGGTCCTCCGCGCGGCCGGCTTCTGCCCCGCCTCCCGCCGCCGGCCGCGCCTCCCCGAGCACACCTGCCTGCGTCACTGCTTGGGCCCGACCCGCCCCCACCTCCATGCCCCTTCAGGTGTGACCTGCGGCAGCGGCTGGCCCTTCGGTTGCTTGAATGCCACAGGGCTTAGCGTTTGAGCCTTCTGCGTAGAAATCTCTCCTTTCCCTCCTGTGTTGAGGTCACTCTCCAGCCGGGTCCGAGTCCTCCCTCCTCAGGTGCTACTCCCCGTGGGTTTCAGGGCCTCCACTGAACGGAGGCCCTTCCACCCTCCTCCCAGCTCTTGGGGCTGGCAGAGTTGTCCAGTGGGTGGATGCATGAGAGGGTCTGAAGACACTTTACCATCCCACTCCACCCAGCCTTCATCACCTTCAAGAGGAAAGACCACGGAGAGTGGGGAAGAGGGTGAAGTGGAGGCCCTCCCTATTTGGCTCCCTGCACCTACCTGGGCTGCCCGGACCTGGCAGCGGCACCTTCTTGGAGGCAGGTGTGGGAGAGCCCTGGATCTTGGGCACTGGCTGAGACAGGACAGGCTTGGGCGAGACGGGAGGCTTGGCTGGCTTCCGAGCGTCACTGTCAGGTGGGGGCAACGGGGGCAGGTGCATCAGGTCGGAGGGCGGGGGCTCGGCGGGTGGGGGAGGTGGGGGCAGCTCAGGGGGCCCAGCCTGCTCAGAGGTCGGTCTGCGGCGCACGGTGCCTGTGTCGTTCTGGTACACGGACAGTGGAGGGGAAGGCTCGGGACCTGCTTCGCGCTCCTTGGCCTTGGGCCTGCGCTTGACCGTGTCAGACTCAGTCAGGATGAACTTGACATTCTCCTGCTGGCTCTGCTTGGCTCTGATGCGCCTCTTGAGTGTGGCGCTGGCCTCCACCCTGGCCAGGGGTGGGCCTTCCCCACTTGCCTCACCCTTTACTGGACCTCGAGGCCGCTGCCGGGTGGTGCCATCTTCCACGAAGTGGCTCTGATCTGCAGGGTCCCCCAGCTCCCCAGGACCCCGGCGGGCAGCAGCCAGAAGTCCCGTGACAGGCCCACTGAGCGTGCGGCGCCTGTTCACCACTTCACCATCAGGCCCAATGGCCTCCTTGTGCTTCACTGAGGCCAACACTGTGGCCACCCGGCCTGGCTCTGGGCTGGCAGGGCAAGGTGTGGGGTGGCCCTCAGGAGGCCTGCGGGCTGCGCGGCCCCCACCCCCAATAGATGACAGCTCAAGCATGGCTGCAATGCTCTTCACACTGCCGGCACTGCCTGTGTCCACACTGCCAGCCAGGTCACTAGCCCGCCGGCGCTGTGCCCGGACCCCCAGCCGGCCGTCCTCGGTCCCAGCCCCCTCGACCTCAGCGTCTGGCATGGACTCATCGGCCAGGCTGGCACTAGCCATGGCTGAGCTGGAGCGCTTGGGTGGGGGTGGCGGTGGCCCCTTCTTTCGGGGCCGTACCGCAAAAGACTGGCTGCGGTTGACATTCTTGTCAGCACTGGCAGGAGCCCGCACTGAGTGGCTACGGCCCACGCGGCGCTGGACTGTGGCATAGGGCCCCGCAGCAGCTGGCACCAGCAGCTCATCCCTCTCTGGTTCACTGTCTGATGCTGCGTAGCGATTCAGGCTGTGGGCACGCTTCTTGGGCCGGCCCGGCTCCACCTCAGCCTCGGGGGGCAGGCACAGTGTGGGTACAGGTGTGGGCGTGGCTGCAGGGGCAGGCCCAGGAGTGGCCAGCCCTGCCTCGCTCTCCACGGGCTGGGGCAGCACGTAGGCAAAGCCACGGTGTGTGGGTGACTGAGGCAGTGAGCGGGGTGACATGGGTCGCTCTGCTGGCGGCAGCAGCTGTGGTGTTGGCTTCACCTTGGCTGTGGCTGGGGCTGAACCATGAGGCGCCCCCAGCGTCTGGGGGGAGCCTGGCCGGGCTTTGGTGGGCGTCTGGGGCGGGGTGAAGTGGCAGGCACCTGGTGGAAGGACCTGCCGTGGCTTGCCGGGCACTGGAGGCACACTGGCCCTCTTGACGCTGTGGCTGTGGCGGCTGGGTCGGGTCTCCTTGGGTGGGGTGCCAGGGGTGGGCCCCTCACCCAGCAGGTACTCCTGGCTCCGTGACATGGGGCTGCCAGGCCCAGGGGGCCCATCGCCCAGCAGCTCCTGAGAGCTGCTCATGTGCCGTGCCTGCCCACTGAGGCTGGGCTCCTGCCGCATGGAGGCCCTCGGAGTGGGCGGCAGGTGGTTGGAGGGCTTCTCAGCCCCAGCAGCCCCCTCAGCAGGGCCAGTCATGGCAGCCTGAAGCTCGCCACTGAGCTCACTGTCCTGGAACGTGGTCATCTTAGGAGACTGGCAGTCCACCGGGGCAGGCTCAGGCGGGGGCGGCGACTCGATGGCCATCACCTCAAGCGACTGGGGTGCCTTCCGGCGCAGAGGTCCTCCCTCATACTTGGCATATTCTGCCTTCTGCAACTCTGCCAGTTTCCTCACTGCTAGCATCAGCTTCTTCTGGTGTCCTGAGTGGAGTAAGGACAGGGTGGGTCAGGCCAGGGTGGGTGGCAGGGAGCAGGA